CCAATGAAAGATTGCTTACACTTTTTAAATTTTTTTTTTAAGGCAAGAGTCTTGCTCTGTTGCCCAGCTCACTGGGCTGCAGTGAGCTCACAATCTCAGCTCACTGCAGCCTCCGCCTCCTGGGTTCAAGCAGTTCTCCTGCTTAGCCTCTTAAGCAGCTGGGACTATAGGTGCCCACCATCATGCCCGGCTAATTTTATATTTTTAGTTGAGATGGGGTTTCATCATATTGGTCAGGCTGGTCTCGAACTCTTTGACCTGAGGTGATCCACCCACCTTGGCCTTCCAAAGTTCTGGGATTACAGGCATGAGGCACAACACCTGGCCAAGAGTGCTTACACTTTTAAAGAAATTATATATATACATACATATATATATACACATATATATATACATATATATATATAATTTTAGTAAAACAAAGGGTAAAATTTAATATTAAAAAAGGCACAAACACATTTTGTACATATTGTGAAAATACCATCTATTTCCTTTAAAAGCTTATAAACTGATATGAGTATCATAAACCTGTTTGTTTTTTTCCTGAACTGTTGTTCAACATTTAATGTATATTATTTGCAGGGAGGTAATGTGGGACCAGATTTTCTGGTTGGGAAAGGAGACGAGTACTGGTTTTAGTACACTAAGTTTACATGCTTGTGTAGCACAACTGGAGGTGCCTTCATGTAACAGACATATGAAGAGGTTGAGAGAACAGGCTGGAGATTGGAAGCTATCCAAGTAAAAATGGTAATCGAAGCCTAGGATTGATTAGTTTGTGTATCTGATAAAGAATAGTTTAAGAATTATAATCGTAAACAATGAAATGTTTTTCTCTTTGACCTTAGTGACGTGGGATGCTTGATCACTAGTGTCTGATGCACCAGAGTAGCATGAAAATTGAAATCTTTGGGTTCAGTCAGGAAGTGGTCACTGGAGACTTGATACTATAATGACTGAGTGGTATGGTAGAGTAAAGTTGACTTGGAAAGGGATTAAGATGAGTTGATAAGGAAGTGAAGCACTATGTGGTTAAAAAGTTTCTGTGAAGAATAAGCAAGCTGGAAGAAAACAAGAAATTGTAGGATTAGAGGTGGGTTTTCCAGTTATAGTGTGTGTACATGTGTAGGCGAATCATTTATAAAGAGGACGCTGAGTACAATTAAGTAAAACAACCAAGAAAATGAAACTGAAATATAATATTTTGGAATAGTAAAATGAACCACAAGAATGAAAAGCCCCTGAAATCCAACAAGGCTAATTTTCATCATATAAATTTGACATACAGAAGAAGAATTTTAGTACTATAGTTGTCTTTGGAATAGTTAAAATTCTTCGACATAGTAGTTACAGGATTACAAAATCTTTGAGTCTCTAATATATGCCAACAGTGAATTCAAGGTTTTATTTTATTTTTTTTGAGACAGGGTCTTGCTCTGTTGCCCAGCCTGGAGTGCAGTGGTGTCGTCATGGCTCACTGCAGCCTCAAACTCCTGGATTCAGGCAATACTTCTGCCTCAGCCTCCTGAGAAGCTGGGCCTACAGGTGCATGCCACCACACCTGGCTAATTTTTAAGTTTTTTGTAGAGACAGGGTCCTGCTACATTTCCCTGGCTGGTCTCTAGCTCCTAGTCTGAAGTGATTGTCCCTTCATGGCATCCCAAAGTGCTATGATTACAGGTGTGAGCCACTACACTGGCCAAATTCACAGTTTTAGAAATCCGTAAAAATAGATTGCTAAGAGAAAAACAAAAACAAATAAAAAAATAGATTGTTAAAAGCTGAATAAATTAATACAGAATGTAGTCAGTGTTTGCTGAGAAAAGATAGGTGTAATAGGAACATTTGATAGTAATTTTTAATGTGATGTGATTAAAGGGAATTTTAAAGCACATTTGTCATCTGATTGGAAAGAATCTGATTGGAAAGAAAGAACGAGGGATGGTAAATGACAAATATGATGTTTACATTGATATTTACAACGACCCATGATGTAAGTATATGCACTTACTCATTGAGAGAGTATACTCCGAAGTTGTAATTTAAAAACAAAATGTATCTATGGAACAGAGAAATCTAATATAATGAAATGTATTAGATTTCTGAAAAATATTTGAAAAATATCTAATAGACCAAATACAGTTGTGGCATGATTGTAATCATTAGGAATCTTGAAGAGAAACTGAACCCATGATACTCTGAATATGTGATATAAAGTAATTTTAAATAATATTTATTGACTTTATCAGTCATTATGTAATGTTTTACCTATATTAAAAGTAAATAGGTACTTTCAAGATATATAATAATATACATTTCAGGCACTTGATTAGAAAATTAAAAATTTTCCCGTTTAAGATGAATGTATATCAATAGACAATGGTCAGACTTTTAAAATCAGTCACAGTGAAATGAGTCATGTTCATGCTTTTAAATATTCGGAGTTGACATCATCATAATCTTTGTTTCCCTAAATGATAACTTTATGTATGTAGATAGTGGCATCTAGATGCTTACAGTTCTTGGTAAATTGAAGAGTGAATGTATTATTTGGGAGTGGGGAAAAGTATTATAATAGTGGTCTGGAGTAGGAGTACAAAGACCAACTTTAAAAAATTTAATCTGAGATTTAAAAGAAAATTTTAGTTTCTTTTCTAAATGTAGGATTCACTGTTACCTTTTCTTGAATTCCTAAAACTGAATACCTACCTAATATTTCTACTGTGAGGAATGAGAATCTGAGTTTTGTGTTGTATGTAATTAGAGCAAGAGAGAAAATGTTTTGAAAGTGATATCTGAGGGCGTAAAAAGACTTGAGCTTTGCAGTGAAAACTTACTCTAAGTAATTTGGTACCACAGTTGTTTCTTTCTAGCTTGGAGGCTCCAAATCCCAGCTTCTGATACTAGAATTTAACTTTTCCATTTCAGTCAGTTTCTCCCCATCCTAATGAAAATGAATATCCCTTCCCTCGGCTGTCTGGAACACAATCTCCCTGTAAATGATGATGGTATACCACATGTATATTCACAAATCTTCTAGTTTAACTTCTAATGGTAAGCCTAGAAAGATGTATAAATGATGATCCCAAAGTAATCCCTCCCTCTTAGTATTCTGCAAGCTAGTTATTAAATGATAATCACTTTGGGTAATCACACACTTCTTTGGATGTTGTAAAATGAAAAACTAGGTCTCTGCATTGACTGACATGATTCTGAGCATGTCAGTCTTGGATAGGCTTGTTATATTTGTGGGAATATATACACATCTGTCAAAATTAACTCTAACATCTTTATGTAACCAGTTACATACTATTTCATTATACAAATGAAATTAATCATTAATCTTGTTTAATCTTGTTTACCTTCTGAAAAAACAAGCAGGGTAGTGAGAGTAGTTAATTGCAGATGGGTTTTTAAAAAAGATGTTACAGAACAATCATGTGCTCCCAAGTCAGAGCAATGTGGATTTCAGCCATTTGTTAGATGCGTAACTGAGTGCAAGTTACTATGGAAACAAACTAGAGGAATTTATGCAGAAAATGAGGACATATGCCTCCATATGTCAAGTGCCTAGCACATCCTTATGAGATATTCATTAATAAATTGAGCACCCTTTCTGTTTTACAGGACAAAGTAAAATGCCTTCTGGAAAACTAATATTTAAAATGGTGGAAGATATTTAAAGTAGTTATATAGCTGAGTAAATTACTAAGTAAGATGTTATTAAATAGGAAAACATGAAAAGGACATGTAGGACAGCTTTATGTGGAAAAAAACCTCTGTACTAATTATTAATCATGCCTGGGTTTAAGGAGCTTTTAGTAAGTATCATATTAAATTTAGTTTTATACTGAAGTTTTTATGGTGAAAGATTCTAAAGAGATCATATGTCCTATTGAGAAAGAAATAACCTATAATCAGGAATAACCTGAATAGTTTGAATCAAAGTTTAATTCTATGTGAGTTAATAACTTGTTTCCTAGTTGAGTAGCAGCATACACCCAATTGATACTCTTCTTTGGATGACAAGATAAAGAAAAAGAAAGTTATGTACAAATAATCAGGTAATGCCACTTCTTAAAAAAAAAATACAATCTATGCATGTAACAAAATGGCACTTGTATCCTATAAATTTATACAAATAAAAAATTATGATTCTAGGAGGTGCTTGCTCTTGGCTTCTGCCAGAGGTTACACTTCCCAGCCTGTGGATGGCCAGACTCCGCAGGCTGTAAAATAAATGAATGAATAAATATATATACATTATGTGTGTGTGTGTGTGTGTGTGTGTGTGTGTGTATGTATGTAAAATATACATACATATATATATCTTGAGAGAGAGAGAGACAGACAAAGAATTCCAAAAGCTGTTTTAAAAACTAAACTTTCATTATGTATGTCATTAGTTTGTAGTATCAGAAAGCTCATTTTTTTTAGTTTTGGTATAAGATTAATAAAAAGCGAATGACAGACTACATCATTAGTGATCATAATTTGTATAATGTAATTTGTGCTTTAGTGAGTTATTTTCCATACAGTAAAATGCCTTTATTTAAAAAAGAAGAGGTACAGTACATTATAATTCCAAGGAAATTTTTATATTAAAAAATGCCAATTTTTGGCTTAAAACTGAAAAGGTTTCATTTAATACCTAAGTAACAAGGAAATTCACAATTAAGGCTGAAATACTATTCATATTACTATATATTTCTAATCATGTTATTTTAAACTTGTATATTTTAAACCATGGTTATGGAATTGTATGGGAATCTATTGAAGGCATAACCTTATATTTAATGAATTTTTGGTTTAATTCTTTAGATCTTCAAAATAGTATTGGGATATGAAACAGCAGGATTATTGTTATTCTGATAAAAACCAGACTGAACTGAGTCCTTCACTGTATTTTTCTGAAGAACTCACTTTGATGAGTAAGTGTTCAATAGCATAAAGTTAGGAAATCTTTATGTTATTAAAATTTGAATTTTCTTTCACTGTATCCCAATCTTTTGAATATATGTGTTTCAGGACATTTCCAATTAAACTATAAGTTTAGATAATATCCTGACTAGATTAAAAATAGGATCTTCAAACGTATTTCCAAATCATATTGCGATTGCGCACTGAAGTTAATTCTCTGAAGACTAAAAGCTCTGCTTGTTTAGAAAAGTCAATGATTAGTTCTTTATATGCAATTGAGATTCTGTTTCCCCTCTATACGTTCCTTTACTAATTTTTCCAAAGCGAAAAGATGCTCATCTGCTTCTTCTGGCACAAGGTTCCTAATAGAATTTGCAAGTTCAAAAAGATACTCTGTATTTCTTCCACTTGGACCAGCTGCATTAAAAATTTGTTCCGCAATGTCTTCCAGAGGTGCAGGACCAAGATAGTTAGGATTATCACATGTTCCAATATACAACAATACACTGAATGGTTTTGTTGTGGTATCTTTTGGATAAAAAATGACTGTTGTGGTTCTGTAGCCTCCTTTCTCTCTGAAGTCAAGGTATGCTTTTACTTCTTCTTCCTTTCCTACTGGCAGTCTGTAAGCAACACCCCAAACACATCCCTGTTGAAAAATGAAAAGAATACACTAGTATTTATAAGGCTAATTAAAATAGGTGATGATAGGTTGTGATCTAAGAGAGTATCTCATATATATATATTTTTTAAATTGAAATGGAGTCTTGCTCTGTTGCCCAGGCTGGAGTGCAGTGGTGTGAACTTGGCTCACTGCAATCTCCGCCTCCTAGGTTCAAGCGATTTCCCTGCCTCCTGGGTTCAAGCGATTCCCCGCCTCAGCCTCCCGAGTAGATGGGATTACAGGTGTGTGCCACCATGCCTGGCTAATTTTTGTATTTTTAGTAGAGATGGGGTTTCACCATGCTGTCCAAGCTGGTCCTGACTTCAGGTGATCTACCCACCTTGGCTTCCCAAAGTGCTGAAATACAGGTATGAGCCAACACACCCGGCTGAGAGTACCTCATATATTCTTTTCTATTTGTTTGTTTTTGAGACTAAGTCTTGTGTGTTGCCCAGGCTATGGTGCAGTGGCACGATCTTGGCTCACCACAACCTTAGCCTCCCAGGTTCAAGTGATTCCCCTGCCTTAGCCTCCGAGAAACTGGGATTGGGATTACAGGAACGCATCGCCATGTCCAGCTAAGTTTTTAGTAAAGAAGGGGTTTTGTCCTGTTGGCTAGGCTGGTCTCGAACTCCTGATCTCAAGTGATCCGCCCACCTTGGCCTTCCAGTGTGCTGGGAATATAGGTGTGAGTCACCATGCCTGGCTCTATCTTGTATATTCTTTTTTTTTTGGTGGGGGGCGGGGCGGGCGGGCGGGGCTCTAGTACTTGTCATGTATCTTGTATGTTCTTAAAAGTCAGCCAGGCGTGGTGGCTCACGCCTGTAATCCCAGCAGTTTGGGAGGCCAAAGCAGGTGGATCACGAGGTCAAGACTTCAAGCCTGGCCAAGATGGTGAAACTCTGTCTCTACTAAAAATACAAATTTTAGCCAGGCGTGGCAGCAGGCACCTGTAATCCTAGCTACTTGGGAGTGTTGGGCCGGAGAACTGCTTGAACCCCTGGCGGCAGAGGTTGCAGTGAACCAAGATCGTGCCACTACACTCCAGCCTGGGTGATAGAGTGAGACTCCATCTCAACAAAAAAAAGTCAATATAGTTTTTCTTCACTTAAAGTGCACAGAGCAACATAATAAACAATAAAGGAAATAGGCCAAGGCGGGCAGATCACGAGTTCAAGAGATCAAGACCATCCTGGCTAACATGGTGAAACCCCGTCTCTACTAAAAATACAAAAAATTAGCCCGGCGTAGTGGTGCCTGCCTGTAGTCCCAGCTACTTGGGAGGCTGAGGCAGGAGAATTGCTTGAGACCGGAAAACGGAAGTTGCAGTGAGCTGGGATCGCGCCACTGCATTCCAGCCTGGCAATAGAACGAGACTCTGTCTCAAAAAAGGAAAAAAAAAAAAAAGAAATGAAGAAAATAAGCATTTTAAAATCTCTATTGTGAATAATTTCTTTGTATCATAGGCACAGCATTTTATCTTATTTTTTCTTTAATTTGGTCTTTTTCTTTAATAATGGGACTGAAAGGAAAACTACCAGGCTTTCACTTGATCATTAAAAAATTACATAGAAACAAAGTGCCATTTGTTTATTAACTGTTTAATTAGGAGTTATGAGTTACCAGTTTGAAGCTGTTTTTTATAGATGCTTTTCGTATCAATTATGAAAGCATTTCCTAATCTACACCATTATTTATCTACCATTACTAACTGCTTGATTTTTGCTTATTAAAGTCCTTTCCAAAGTTAACATTTCACAATATAAAATTCTGAATTTGTACCCAATAAATTGATGGAAAATATTTAAGAAACTGAGGATTGTTGGTTACATAAAACTTTCTGGTGCTCCAAGCTAGTTTTAAAAACATGGGTGCTACTGGGGTCTACTAGAGGGTGGAGAGTGGGAGGAGGGAGAGCATCTGGAAAAGCAACTAATGGATACTAGGCTTAATATTTATACCTGGGTGATGAAATAATCTGTACAACAAACCCCCATGACATGTTTACCTATGTAATAAACCTGCACATCCTGCACATGTACTCCTGAACTTAAAAGTTAAAAACACAAAACACGACTCACAGGTGCTATTAATACTACTAAGCAAGCAAGAAAAAAGGAATTCCTGACTTAGATTTCTGCCGAATATGAGACTCCTAGAAAAAGTAAAGAGAGCTTTTAAGGGTTCCATTTAATTCTTGATGGTAGTCTGGCTGTCTGGGGGGTACTTCCATTAATGTTAAAGGGGACCACAAAATTCTTAGTTAAACTTGTTTTTAAAACAATCCAGAAGACCGGGCGCGGTGGCTCACGCCAACATTTTGGGAAGCCGAGGCGGGTGGATCACGAGGTCAAGAGGTTGAGACCATCCTGGCCAACATGGTGAAACCCTGTCCCTACTAAAAATACAAAAATTAGCTGGACGTTTGGCATGCGCCTGTAGTCCCAGCTACTCGGGTGGCTGAGGTGGAAGAATCGCATGAACCCAGGAGGCGGAGGTTGCAGTGAGGCGAGGTTGCACCACTGTGCTCCAGCCTGGCGACAGAGCAAGACTCCGTCTCAAAAAAAACGAAACAAAAAAACCCCACAAAAAACGAGACTACATGCCATTTGTTTGTACTTCGTTGTCTACCTTTCATCCTACATTCTGACTTTTCTTATTGGCTTCATTTTCCACAAACACACACAAAAAACCCCCACAAATACAGAAAAGAATTCTAAATTGTCTTAGTTCAAACTGTAGTTCATATTGGGTAGGGCAGTTCAAATTGTCTGTGACAATTGTTAATAAAACTAAAACTGAGAAACATCTCAACATTTTATAAAATTAAAATTTACAAAAAAGAATATTTATACCATACCGCAGGATCTTCAACAAGAGTCACAACTCTTCCAGGCTGTTTTAAAAAAGGTAAAAAAAAAAAAAAAAAAATTCTGAATTAATAAAGTTCATTAAGTAGCTGGCTATTAGCAACATTTTTGACGTGGAATATTTGAACTATATTTGCCCATAAGAAGCACTATTTCTTAAGCATACGTATTTTTTATGATAAAGCTAAGAGAATCTACCTTATCTAGACTGTGTTGGTCTTTTAAATATTTCCATCAATTTATACATATTACATATATTATGTTAACTTACATGAATATATTGGAAAACAGACCAGTGACTAAGGGTCATCTAAAATGAAAGGCAAATGGAAACAGTAATGATAAATATTCTGGTTTTTCCCTTATGAAAAAATAATGTTATATATATGCCTCTGCTTCCTGGGTTCAAGTGATTCTCCTGCCTCAGCCTCCTGAGTAGCTGGGATTACAGGCATGCACCTCCATGCCTGGCTCATTTTTTGTATTTTTAGTAGAGATGGGGTTTCACCATATTGGTCAGGTTGCTCTCGAACTCCTGACCTCACGATTTGCCTGCCCTGGCCTCCCAAAGTGCTGGGATTACAGGTATGAGCCACCGCGCCCAGCCATAATGTTATATTTTTATTTTATTTTTTGTTTTTTAATTTTTTGAGTTGTAGTTTCACTCTTGTTGCCTAGGCTGGAGTGCAATGATGAGATCTCGGCTCACTGCAACCTCCAACTCCCCAGTTCAAGTGATTCTCTTATCTCAGCCTTACGAGTAGGTGGGATTACAGGTGCCTGCCATCGCACCCAGCTAATTTTTATATTTTTAGTAGAGACGGGGGTTTCACCATGTTGACCAGGCTGATATTGAACTCCTGACCTTAGGTGATCCACCTTCCTTGGCCTCCCAAAGTGTTGGGATTACAGGCGTGAGCCACCACTCCCGGCCTTTAGTTTTATTAGGGGGAAAAAATGACATCAAGTGTGCTTTCCTATGGGGAAGTGGCTTTCAAACTTTTAGTGTAGATCAAAATGACCCGGAGGGCTTGACAAACGCATTGTTAGGCCATAAATACCTCCAGAGCTTCTGATTCTGTAGGTCTGGAGCTGTTTTAAGAATTCGTGTATATAACAACTTTCCTGCCGATTCCAGAAATTGTTTGGGGGCTTATACTTTTAAGAACCACTGCTACCAGGTTATATTAAGAGGCTTTAAGTGTGAGAGAATGAATGATTTATACTTCTGAGTTATGAAGTGCTCTTAACTTTCTGTATATGGTAATGGGTACTTCAAGGCAGGCATTCCTTTTACATTCATATATGAACTTTATATTAGAATTGGCCTATTTGTGTAGTTCTTATATGGGACAGTCAGACCATCTGTGTTCTAGGCAATTTTATTTTTTTGGTTTTAACACAGCTCAGTTGACAGTTATATGGAAAGCTTCACTTTTTACTATTCAACTTGAGATTGAAATGAGATATTATCAAGCCAAAACAAATTTTGTTTGTTCTTCCATTTCAAAGACTGATAAAACAGTCTTTGTTTATAAATGGAAAGCCTTAGAGAAAGTCCAGACTTGGAATGTTCCATACTTTAAGGCACAAAGGTGACTTATATCAGTGCCTGCAAGCTTTTTTTAAAAATAAAATTCGTCCACATAGTACCAAAGGCTGTATATGTACTGATACCTGAACATCATTCATGGGAACGCTAAGTCGTAAGCTACAGTTTTACCTATTTGTATGCCCAGTGTCTGGCACATAGTGACCGTGAATCTTTCAGGCATTTGTGTCATCTTTGTTGATATTTCCTTCTAGTCTTTATCTGTTCATATAGATAATTCATAATCGTGGAACACATGGGATTTTGGATTATCATTTCTCATTTAATTTTCCTGTTAGTCTTCTCATACATTTTAATAGGGATAATATTGTATCACTGATGAACTGTAAACATTTGTGTGTCTTGGACATTCAGATTTCTGACTTGTTTTTAAGATAACGCTATAATGAGGGTACATATATTGGTGAGGGTCAAGTAGATATTGCCATAGTACTTTCCATTTCAAAGTGAATTAGAAGTTATTTACTGCATACCTATTCTGTGCTGTGGAGAAGTAATCTTGATTCTTGCTTCCAGTAGCTTATGTTGTCATTCTAGAATGCAAACTAACGTGAAATAAATTGAGCTTACGGGCTAAGATGTATGGTATTTATTAAGTGCAGTAAGAATTTTGAGTCTTAGGTGATCATAAAGACCCCTATTCTGGTGAAAGGACATGACTCACAATTCATGAATCCTTAGAGGCAGGACTACACGAGACCAAGAGTCTGACTTTAGCAGAGGAGATGATTCAGAAAGATGACTGGAGAAACAGGGTGAAATCAGATTAGAAAAGCCAAAGAGCAGATTTGAAATTAATGGGCAGTGGAAATAAGCTACCGAAATTTGAGAGAAGTTGGCAGTTAAGGAGCTACTACAGAACTTGGGTAGTAGGTGACTGGCATGATGAAAGAAATGCTTTGGAACAATTAGGTTGATAAAGTATGTAGTACTCAAGTTAAAGTGGAAGGAGGAAGTGCACGGTAGATGATGTTATTGGTACAGCTGACAAGTTTGGGCACTCCATCTCTCCTTGTTTCCCCTTGCATCCAGCCCTGTAACCAATTCTTGGTAACTGTCTTTAGAGGGTTATCTGAGTCTAGTTCTATCTTCTGGTAGCTTCCTTAAGGATTTTCCTGCCCGACTTTAGTTTTGCTTCCTTCCAGTCTGTTCTGTAGTTGGGCCCAGGATAACTTTCTGGTGTAAAAATTGGGCGAGTCACTCTCTTGCTTCAAAATTTTCATAGTTGTGATGTTCTACAGCATAAAATAAAAATCCTTGGCTGGGCATGGGTGGTTCATGCCTGTAATCTCAGCACTTTAGAAGGCTGAGGCAAGCAGATGGCTTGAGCCTACGAGTTTGAGACCAGCCTGGGCAATATGGTGAAACCCTGTCTCTACCAAAAATGCAAAAAATTAGCCAGGCATGGTGCCCATGCACCTGTGGTGTCAGCTACTTAGGGAGGCTGAAGCGGGGAGGATCACTTTAGTCTGGGAGGTTGAGTTTGTAGTGAGTCATGATTATGCCACTGTATTCCAGTCTGGGTGACAGAGTGAGACCCTGTCTCTTAAAAAAAAAAAAAATTCTTTAGCATGACTTAACTACAAACCTAATTTCTTTCCATTTTTACCCTGAAGTTTTACTGAATTAATTTGTAACTCTTTTTTTTTTTTTTTTTTTTTTTTGAGACGGAGTTTCGCTCCTGTTACCCAGGCTGGAGTGCAATGGCTCGGCTCACTGCAACCTCCGTCTCCTGGGTTCAGGCAATTCTCCTGCCTCAGCCTCCTGAGTAACTGGGATTACAGACACGCGCCACCATGCCCAGCTAATTTTTTGTATTTTTAGTAGAGACAGGGTTTCACCATATTGACCAGGATGGTCTCGATCTCTTGACCTAGTGATCCACCCGCCTCAGCCTCCTCAAAGTGCTGGGATTACAGGCGTGAGCCACCACGCCCGGCTAATTTGTAACTCTTAAAAACACTCATATATTTGAATATACTGGTGCCTAGTACAGAATGCCTGTCTCCCTTTTATTTGCCTATATCATCTGCCCACTTCCTCCATAAAGTCCGGGCATTATCTCTCCAGATGGACTTAGCAACTCCTTCTCCTAAACTCTTACTGCCCCTTCATTTGTTTTCCTTATAGCACTTATCAAGTATTTTTGTTTGCATAACTGTCTCCCACTTATGTAAGTGCTTAGTAGTAATTATTGAAAAGAAGTAGTGAAGTTTTAGATTGAGGTGGTGGCTGGTGGAACACAAAACACAAAGGAGTATGCAGGGAGTGATTTTAAGGGGAAATAAATGGAATCCTGTGACTGCTTTGGATGATACAGACATGAACTACTGGCACTATAATAAATAAAATTACTTGGAGGCTGGGCGTGGTGGCTCATGCCTATAGTCCCAGCACTTTGGGAGGCTGAAGCGGGTGGATTGCTTGAGGCCAGGAGTTCAAGACCAGCCTGACCAACATGGCAAAACCCCATCGCTACTAAAAATACAAAAATTAGCCAGGCGTGGTGGTGCATACCTGTAATCCCAGCTACTCAGGAGGCTGAAGCAGGAGTATCACTTGAACCCGGGAGGCAAAGGTTGCAGTGAGCGCAGAACCTGTCACTGCACTCCAACCTGAGTGACAAGAGACTCCATCTCCAAAAAAAAAAAAGGAAGAAAGAAAGAAAATTACTTGGAAATATTTTCTAAAACTTAAACTCTTGTTCTCAGTATGTTACTGAGAAACATCTACCTGAATGAGTTTAGAGGATGTAAAATATGAGTCATGATGGATGTTTTCATTGTGTAACGAGTAATGTTTCTGATCTACAAAAGTTAGAAATCTAGTCAATGTTTATGATTGTCTCTTGCATTAAAATATTTCTTTTTAAAATTGTAATATATTCTATTTGATGTGTGAAAAACATTTAAATAAAATACTTTGATGAGAAACTGCCAGTTTTGTGAGATAATAAGGCTGGCAATCCATTTTAATTAAAAATGTGAGGTAAAATTATGATGTTCTTTCCATTTTTTTAAAACAGAACAGTAAATGTAATTAGATTACAGTTTAATTTGCTAGGATAAATTCTTTAAATAAAAGTAGCTGTAAAAACGTTAGCCAGTGCAGCTTTGCCCCCTTACTTTGCTTTCCTATATTTTAGTATAAAGAGATACTGGCTTTTATAGCTCCTTTTAGTTTTTATTTGAGATGGAGTTTCACTCTTGTTATCCAGGTTAGAGTGCAATGTGCGATCTCGGCTTACTGCATTCTCCACCTCCCAGGTTTAAGCGATTCTTCTGCCTCAGCCTCCCGAGTAGCTGGGATTACAGGCATGTGCTACCACACTCAGCTAATTTTGTATTTTTAGTAGAAATGGGGTTTCTCCATGTTGGTCAGGCTGGTCTTGAACTCCTGACCTCAGGTGATCTGCCCGCCTTGTAGCCTCCCAAAGTGCTAGGATTACAGGCGTGAGCAACCGTGCCTGGCCCAGCTCCTTTCTCCTTTTAAAGAATCATGGACTGTTGTATTGACTAGGCAACTTCTAATCATCAGTCTATTCTGACAGCATACATATTTCAGTGTGCTATGTAACACACAGCACATTTTGGTCAAAAGACTGTAGTAGTAAAATATGTTTTTGTAACCACATACATAAATATTTAGTATTTGGTCATTATAATTGGAGCCTGGGCTAAAGGTTTTCTCCTCAGAATGGCCATTTTAAATATTCATATCAAACTGACAATTCTCAAACTCCTGGCCTTAAGCAGTCCTCCTGGCTCAAACTTCCAAAGTGTTGAGATCACAGGTGTGAGGCATCAGGCCTAGCCAAAACTGACAACTGAAAAGGCATTTTATTTACTTTAGTTCGTTAATGTCTTGAATATTGTTTTAGAAGATTCTTGGAGATACTTTGGCTTTGACATTTCTCTTGATCTATAAATGTGCATTTACCCTAAGCCATTTCCCCCTTTTCAAGTCATGCTGTCCAACATGCCAGTAGGCCAGTATAGTCTACCTAAAAGCCAAGTTCTTAATTGACCAACTCAAGTTAAAAATGGAATGGCTTCGGCCGGGCGCGGTGGCTCAAGCCTGTAATCCCAGCACTTTGGGAGGCCGAGGCGGGTGGATCACAAGGTCAAGAGATCGAGACCATCCTGGTCAACATGGTGAAACCCCGTCTCTACTAAAAAAATACAAAAAATTAGCTGGGCATGGTAGTGCGTGCCTGTAATCCCAGCTACTCAGGAGGCTGAGGCAGGAGAATTGCCTGAACCCAGGAGGCGGAGGTTGCGGTGAGCCGAGATCGCGCCATTGCACTCCAGCCTGGGTAACAAGAGCGAAACTCCGTCTCAAAAAAAAAAAAAAAAAAAAAAAAAAAAAAAATGGAATGGCTTCTAACTCAGGTTCTTTTCATGAATTGTGTCTCTTTTATGAGCATGTGGAAACTACTTTAGAGCCCCAATCTTTTTCCCTTTTCCATTGACCAGTTTCCAAATTATTAGTTACCTCAATCTTAGTTTTCTTTATGAATTAGTTGTTTGGCAGCCGGTACAGAGCTGATTTGCATAAGCAGTGAGCTGCTGCTAATTGTCTACACATATATTGAGATTTATGCTTTGTATGACCGACTGAAAAGTGGATCAAATAACTTACATTTCATATTGTAAGAACCATCAAGAAACTAACATTAAAATGTTAGATATAGTAATAAATTTGGTACTGTGTTACTCATGCAACCAGAAATTCACTTAACTTCGCTAGTACCTGAAAACCAAAATGAGTTCCTTAATAACCAGAGAAAAATTTGAAACTCGTTCTTCTGCGATCCTAGGTATCAGAAAAATAAAACTTTTGAGAGATGTAAAGAAATCCTAGAAGTAACATGCATGTTTAATCGCAAACCTATGAAAGTCTGCTAGAATGCAGAAATGCCAACAAATTTAATTGCTAAAAAGCTGAATTTGCAACTTGATTTTAGTATTTCAACTCTGTGGTGACACGAAAAAATTCATCTTCCCGCCAGTGGGATTTTTTATTTCTTTTGGCAGAGGTTGTGGAGAGATGGAGCCCCCTCTCCGCACTCAGCCTGGTGCCAGCTCGAGTGCCTGTGCCCGCGCTTCTCGCGGCATCAAGAACCACCGGCATCTTAAGTAGCTTCGGAAGGAGTGCCCGGGCTGGATAGAGATGGCGGGCAGGTAGCAGGGAAAATGTACAGAAATAAGTGTCACCCCAAGCCATGTACTTGGCCCCCAATAAATGCTAGGGTATGGCTCCCGCGCAGCTGGGTGGTGGGTGTGGAGTTGGGGAGCGGGGGTCCGGGGGGCAGTAAGTGTGGGGAGCTGGCCGGCGCCTCACCTTGCCGGGGACCCCGCGGTGGTCCGTGCTGCCCTGCCAGAAACGCCTGCTGTAGTTTGTGATGTATCCGACCAGCTTGTCCTGATAGGGAAAATCCACCTTCCAGATCAGGGACCCGTAACCAAAAACCCACATCTTTTCCGCGGCGCCTCTGCCACGGCGGCCTTGAACCCTAGTTGCCGCCGCGCCGCGGGGGACTGTAGCCTCCGGTACGCGAGTAACCGGCTGCTCCGGGCGCAGGCGCGATGGCCACTGTTGGCGCAAAGCGCACTGGGAGTTTAAATCCAGAAAGGTTTTCCAGCTGGGTTTCAGTCAGCTTTATTTTATTTCCTTGATTAGTGGGTCAAGAGGCATTGACCTTCCGTGTAGTAAGCAATGGATTCTTTTACAGCCTCCGTAAATCACCCTAATCTACCTTTAGTATGCTTGTATAGAGAACTACAATACCCACAATTCTTGCGGAGGTGTGTAGCTCTGAAATTGGAACTTGGCTTATTTCTAACGGGGCCGAGGAAGGAGAAAAGGACAGTAGTCGTCACTCTTGCTGTCCAAATACGGAGGCGGTGTACCGGCACCGCAGGTAGCACCTAGAAACACATTTTGTTCTGCTTTGGAAATTAGATTTTTGCCATATAACAGCAGCCAGAGGAATGTAATCCATATTTAATTTTATGTCCTGGAAAAAAATGTGTTTTGCCTTTCAAATAAAAGCAGAAAGTTTACAATAAATGTTTACGTCTGTGAAAGAGTAGCTGCCTTTTCAATGGGAATTGTTTATATATTTAAATTTTACACAGTCTTATTCATCTTTAGCATCCTCAGTGGCTTTTTCACAAAAGAGCAGGCAAATGTTCTTAACTTGGGGTTCCAGTAAAGGCTTTGGAAATGAGCTGGGGAACCTGCTGAAATTGTGTACAAAATTTGGAGTGTACACTTTTCTGGGGCGATCTACAGCTTTCATGAGTTTTTCAACGGGGTCAAGGATCCTAAAAATTTTTGAAGATCTGCTGGTTAGAGCTATTGCTGCAAACTGTTCTTTAGGAAACTCACTTGGACTATCATGACCGTGTGTGTGCGCGCGCGCGCGTGTGTGAAAACAGAAGCCACAAATGATTGTTCTTTCTTGAAGATTTCTATACTATGGTCTTGAATGCTGAAGCACTCAAGATTCAAGGGGTATTACTTGTTTTCTTATAAAGAAATCAGCAGGAAGCTGGCACCAAAAAACTGCTCGCCCCAAAACAGGTCTTTTCCTATTTTCTCTAAGTTGTAGTTCCATATTGCCTGACATGGTTGCTAACCCTCCTTTTTTGAAAAATTTTGAATATGCAGAAAAGTTAGATTAAAAGAGTGTAGTGACCAGTACCTTTCATCTAGATCCAGTAATTTGCATTTTGCACAGTTGCTTTACTTCCTTTTTTCTCTATATTTTTAAATGAAAAATATTTGAAGTACGTTGCATGTGTTATGATATTTTACTGCCACATACTCTATATGTGTCTTATAAGAATAAGGACATTCATCCTAGAACAAGTTCCCTAAAAAAAAGAATAAGGACATAATAACTGTGATACCGTTATCACATTTAAGAAAATAAACAATAATTTGTCATCAAATATGTATTCCATATCTAAACTGCTTCATAGTCGCTAGCAAGAAATTATGTCTTTGAGAGAGTCACATGAGAGCTATACTGGACTCTGACTGCAGGGAAACTTGAAGTGAGCACTGGAGAGAGATGATGATATGGGCAAGAATTCTGCGAAGAAATTGTGGGATATGTAGGAAAGCAGGACTCATCCCTTTATGATGTTCTCTGTTTCAGTATGCTCAGTCAGTGAGACTATTTGGTCAAACATAGAGAGCCTGAGTGTTTAACTTCTTCTGGAAAGGACCAGCAAGTACAGGAAGACTAGAATGACACCTGTCTTGCACTGCTTTTCTGGCCTTTTTGGGTTCAGTTGTTTCCTATAGAGGGCTATATATTGAGAGTGAGCATTGTCAGTAGTTGAATGGCCATCTCTGCATAATGCAGTGTACACTGGGGATTAACTAGAGGTGCTCTCATTAATGGAGCACCAGAGAGTACATTGTGGTTGGATATGAACAGAAGCTGAAGCCTGCTGGAAATTGCTTCTCAAACATTTCCAGAGGAGGAAAGATAGAACACTTAGAAATCCCTTTATGTTTTTAGTAGGAACAGTCCAAGGAATTCTAATCCGCCAAACAGAGGAACTTCCTTGTTTAGGCACCAGCAGAGACTGTGGCATGGCAGTCACTTTCTGTATTGTGGGCCATTCTTCAGCAGTCATGTGAGAGATGCTAGGCAGGCCCACCATGATCTGCTTGTCTTTAGGAGTGAAGTGTTGTTTCATTGACTGTAGTATCATCCTTCTACCTTGTTTTGTAGACTGGTCAAACAAATGGATTTTACAGAAGCTTATGTGGACACGTGCTCTACAGTTGGACTTGCTGCCAGGGAAGGCAATGTAAAAGTCTTAAGGAAACTGCTCAGAAATGGCCGAAGTGTCGACGTCGCTGATAACAGGGGATGGATGCCGATTCATGAAGCAGCTTATCACAACTCTGTAGAATGTTTGCAGATGTTAATTAATGCAGGTAAAGTAAATTCAAGGTATAGAGGCTTTGCCTACAAGCTGGATTAATAAAACATAAAAAAGATAATATATTACTTATTAACAGTAGTATTTGTTTCCCTTTCTATAGTCATAAAATAACTGCCTGAATTTATTTATTAAGGATGGTAAGATTGCCTGCCTTGGATTCAATTAGTATGATATTCTAGTTGGACATCTTATATGGAAGTGCCTCTGTCTAGCCTCTTTTTATTGACTGAGCTAGGTAATGTGGGAGAAGTAGTCTGTCGTTTGAATTTAAATATTTGATATTTACTGGTCATGATTATTCTTTGTTCCTTTACCAGACAGAAGGAATAATTGCACTGACATTGAGGATGTGTTTTGATTGCATTAGTCTTTTTATTTTTAAACACTTTTTAATACTTTTTCAAATTTTACAGCTACTTGGCATGAGACAAGATGCCTGCCCTCCTGAGGCTTTTTCTTGTCACGGGAAACAGGTGACAAATGTCTAAACAAACAAGATACATTTTAAAAGGTGAAAGTGTAATGGAGAAAATCAAACAAAATAGAGACAATAAATGGGATAGAGAAGAATGTGTGCTATTAATAATAATGTGCTATTGCGCATATCTTTACATCTCTGCATTCAGTGACTTCCTGCTTGGGATCAGCCATAGTAGGAATATTTACACCACAGAAATAAGCCAGTGCTACCAACCAGTGCTATAAACTGGGCATTCTTCCTCTGGACAGCTAGTTGTTAAATGTTAACCAGCACACTACTGAGTGAAGGGCATTGACTAAAGGCAAGATTCTGACGTTTAGTAGAGAGGGGGTAGGAAGAAACAAGGTGGTGATTGAGGATTGCTTTGTAGTAGTCATTGTGGCACATGCTTAATTTATTTTATTTAATATATGTAAAAGTGCTGTTAGAGGCAGTATTATCCTCATTTTATTGGTGAAAAGACCAAGGCTCAGAGAAGTTGACTTGTAAAAGGTTACATAATAAACTAGGGTATTTGATTTGAACCCATTTCTCTGACTCTAAAACCCTTTTTTTCCCCTGTCATACCATGCTTCTAACATTTAATTGAATTAAACATTTCTAGCATTCAGTTAATTTAAATTAAAGGCACTAGAATACTCTGCATTGTAACACTCAGCAAACCATTTACATTTCATTGATCGTGGAAATTCAGAACCTCTTCCCTGCATACTTATCACCAGGTATAGGTGCTTAAAATGTAGACTTCTGGATCCATAGCTCATCAGAACTACGAATTTGTTACCTCCTGGACCGGAAAGGAAATAATCTTACATTGTTTTTGGTAGTGGTCGGTGTTTTTTTTTTTTTTTTTTTTTTTTTTCCTTTTTCTTTCTTTCTTTTTTAAAAATCTTAACAGGTAAGAGATGGTAAGGCTAAACTCTCTAAATCATAATGAAGGAAATTTGTCATGATTGTTTTTAAAGTCACATGTTCAAGTGTCTGTTGTCTGTTATAGTCGAACGTTTGAAGATACCGGAAAAATAGTTGTTATTCCTCTAATTTCAAATGCTTAAGATATGTTTTCAGAATCTGTTGGAAGTTAACTATAAAGCTTAAGTTCCCAAACTATTTATAGTAATAAATAAAGGCATGAGTTTGAATATCCTTTTCTAGTCAAAAAGTTCATTTCCAATATACAGTTACATCTCTTCTTCATATAGGAATAGTGTAGTTTATGTTACAGATTTTTTTCCCTTTATCTGCTGGGTAAAGTTAGATATGCTTTTGACTAAAAGCATTTGAAATGGCTGTTTAAATTCATCTCTACAGTTGTCCCTTGGTATCCACAGGGAACTGGTTCCAAAATGCCCACAGACACCAAAATTCATAGATGCTCACGTTCTGCATTCTGCCCTGAAGATAGGAAAATGTGCTATATGCAGATACAAAAAGCCCTCTATTTGTGGGTTCCTCATCCCACAAATGCTTTATCTTCCGTCCTCTTGGTTGAATCTGCGGATGCAAAACCTGTGGATACAGAGGCCTGACTGTATTTTATTTTTTTCTGAGATGAAGTCTTGCTGTGTCACCCAGGCTGGAGTGCAGTGGTGTGATCTCAGCTTACTGCAACCTCCACCTCCCAGGTTTAAGCGATTCTCCTACCTCAGCCTTCCAAGTAGCTGGGATTACAGGTGTGTACCACCAATGCCTGGCTATTTTTTTCGTATTTTTAGTAGAGACAGGGTTTCACCATTTTGGTCAGGCTGGTCTCAAATTGCTGACCTCAAGTGATCCATCCACCTTGGCCTCTCAAAGTGCTAGGATTACAGGTGTGAGCCACTGTATCCGGTTCCAACTGTATTTTCTTTTAGAAGTTTTAATTATCAGTTTCATCATTAATGACCATCCTTTTTTGAACTTGAGTTTTTGGAGGATAAGATAGCTGTACATAGTTACTTGAATAGTTGATATAAATGGTCAAATTAAACATTTTCACTGTATTTTTTATTAGAATTCACCATTATGAAGTAAACTGGATAAATACATTTTTTTTTTTTGTAGTATGTACACAGGGACTATAGTAGAAGTAGGGAGGTAGGAAGTAGAGTTTGCAGAGGTTGGGAAGCAGCCATGTGAATTATTTTAGGAGATGGTGAGTGACATGTTCGGGCTTATTTTTCCATGAGTTTGATTTTTTTCTGTAGTATTCTTAGAGTTGAAACTAATGTCCAAAATTTTATTAGATTTGCTTATCTGATTCACTAACTAGAAAAGTCAGATTAGAGTGGGGCAGTAGGGATACATGGTTTATTGGTTGTTTTAAAAAATATCCTATATACTCTTCTGGTTCCCTTGCCTTTTGTAAACTAGGTAAAGTCTATACTTTATTCAGAGTCCCTACCTTTTTATAAAGATTATAATTTAATCTCTGGATGATTCTAGTTCTGGAACATTGACCAGTGAGGAATGATAGTGGATTTCTTTTTGTAAAACATTTACCTAGTGTAAAGTTATATATGAGGAGGTATTTTTAAATGATGGTAAAGTACAAATGTTTTTGGTCTTGAAGAGTGAAGACCAGACCATTGAGCCTCTTGTGCTCAGTGATAAGAGCACCATTCTTAGATTGGTAGCAGTTAACTTGATACTATGGGTTAATCCCAAAAGTTTCTGAAGCAAGTTTGACATTTCTGTCTTTTAACTTGCCATATCTGTGTTTTATATGATTCATAATTTTCTTGTTCCTTGTGGTTCCACAGGTATATATAAAGTGTTTTTTGTTTTTTTTTTTTTTTTTTTTTTTTTTTTGGTGACACAGGGTCTTCCCCTGTCTTCCACGCTGGAGTGAAGCGGTATGATCTTGGCTTACTGCAGCCTCCGCCTCCTGGGTTCAAGTGATTCTCCAGCCTCAGCCTCCCAAGTAGCTGGGATTATAGGAGCCCACCACCAGGCCAGGCTAATTTTTGTATTTTTAGTAGAGATGGGGTTTTACCATGTTGGCCAGGATGGTCTTGATTTCTTCATCCCATGATCTGCCCACCTCGGCCTTCCAAAGTTCTGGGATTACAGGCTTGATCTCCTGCTCTCGGCTGGTTTGTCTAATATTAATACGCTGACAGAGATTCCTTAAAGATAATTAGTACACCAAAATATGAAGGTATGTAGGCCTACACAAATAAAATGAAAATACCTAAACTGGTTTGAAGAGTTTTACTTCACTGTCTCTTCAGTTTAGGTATGGAATCCATTCTGAGTACCATACATAGTCTTCTGACTAAAGTTGGAAAAGAACATTCAAGTGTGGTGTAGATTATGTGGTTTAATATGCATACATATTTTTGTATTTCTTAAATATTTCATTTTAGTTTTCTGTTGAAGATATTAGCACAAATAACAAATTTACTTGTCTTTTCTCCTGTAGTGGAGATTGAGTGTAATGGGTGTTGAGATTTTATGAAGCTTGTCATCCTGGAGGGCAGTAATGATCTTCACTGGCAATTAACCATGCCATTCAATAATAAGTCATTTGCTAACTAAAAGTCACTTAAAATCTTATCATTGGCCGGGCGCAGTGGCTCAAGCTTGTAATCCCAGCACTTTGGGAGGCCGAGGCGGGTGAATCACGAGGTCGAGAGATCGAGACCATCCTGGTCAACATGGTGAAATCCCGTCTCTACTATAAATACAAAAAATTAGCTGGGCATGGTGGCACGTGCCTGTAATCCCAGCTACTCAGGAGGCTGAGGCAGGAGAATTGCCTGAACCCAGGAGGCGGAGGTTGCGGTGAGCCGAGATCGCGCCATTGCACTCCAGCCTGAGTAACAAGAGCGAAACTCCGTCTCAAAAAAAAAAAAAAAAAAAAAAAAAAAAATCTTATCATTATTAAGCATATAGCTAACAAATTTATTTGGCTAGTAAATGATCTAGCTCATAGTATTTTTTATTAGTTAATGTTAATAAGAAGATTTGCACTAATACTGGGCACAGTAACTGATGCTGAAGTTCCTTAGGCAAATATATTGTTGTACCGTAGTGATTAGGAGTTATGGTCAGATGGACCTGGATTCTATTGACTCTTCCCATTTTATTGTTGTGACTTTGGACAGGTCTTTTAACCTCGAAGTCGTTTAGTTTTTTCATCTTTTAGACAGAAATATTCCGTTGTTCTAGCTCAGGCCAGAAACTCTGGATCATCATTAATTCCTTTCTTTTTCTCATATTTCTCATCTAGTCAGTCAGCAAATTAGTTTGTATATGTGTATGTCTATATTTGTGTGTATGAAAACACACGCACATAATCAGATCACTTCTCACTACTATTAAGACCTTTGTCAGAGCCACATCTCTTGTCTAGGTTGCTATAATAGCATCTTAATAGATCTTCTCTGTCTGCCATTGCTCCCTCTCCATCCCGTGACAGGCCACCCCAATATATTAGAAGGATCCTTTTAAAATACATCAGACCAAGTCACTCTTCTGCTCAAAACTGTATAATATCTCCCCACTTCATTCTGAGTGAAAACACTGTTGCATATTATTTTATAGTAGAAATGTAAAGTAATTTATATAACCATTTTCCTATTGATAGACATTTTATTTCCTAAAGTTTTGCTGTTATAACTAGTGATTCAGTGAACATCTTTATGTGTATATCTTTGTGCTGTACACATGGTTGAGCATTTCTGTAGGATGGAGTTTTAGAAGTGCAATTACTGGTTTAATTAGAGTTTTCCGGAGAAATAGAACCAGTAGAATGTATATAAATAGACAAGAGAGGATTTACTATAGGAATTGGCTAATGTGATTATGGGAGCTGAACCAGGGGAAGTGATGGTATAACTCTCAGTCTGAAGCCATAGGACTGGGAACTGGGGTGGATGTGGGAGGCCACTGGTAGAAGTCCTGGAGTTTGAAGTCCTGATGATCAGAATCTCCAGTATCCAAGGGCAGAAGGAGATACATATCCTAGCTCAAAAGAGAATGAATTGTGTCCCTCTGCCTTTTTTTTCTTTTAGGTCCTTAAAGGATTAGATGATGGCCACTCACACTGGTGAGGGCAGATTTTGTTTATTCAGTCTAGTGATTCAGATGGTAATGTCTTCCTGAAACATCTTCAGGGCAAATTCCCTGGGCATGATGGCTCCCATAATCCCAGCTACTCTGGACGTTGAGGCAGGAGAATCTATTGAACCCAGGAGGTGGAGTTGGAGGTGGAGGTTGAGGTTGCAGCGAGCGGAGATTCCACCACTGCACTGCAGCTTGGGCAACAAGAGTGAAACTCCAACTCAAAAAAAAAAAAAGAGAAAACCAGGATCTGAGGACTGGGTGTGCTTGTTCTCGTTGCTACTGGACTATCATTGATTTTAAGCCCTTTCAGCAGAAAGATCTAGAAAATATATTTATCTATTATTAACCAAATATGTACACATCTATAATTATTTCCATGTATAGCCATCTGTCTCCATATTAAGCTAAACATGAATTCATACTGATGTCTGGACTCTAATACAGAACCACATGGTTTATTCTAGCCTTCCCTGTTTCCTTATCTGTAACCTTCCTCTCCAACAGTTAGAAACCTGGCTCCCAGCTCTGCCATCTGTTGATTTATTTGTTTGCTCTTAGTATTCATGTGGAGTGGTTTCAGAATTGTTAATCTCTGCTCCTAGAAACAGCTTTACCAACTAGACTGCAGTGTTTATGTGCAGTTCGTTTTGTCTTTGTCTTACAGTTTTCAGTTGTAGCGTCATTTATCAAAGTTATGTAGGCCAGCATCTTTTTTCTCTACCTCTCAGTGTGGTTATGACATATATTTGTAATCCAATTATATTCTTTTGTTACAGTCTGCATTCTCTCCTAGGATTCCCCTTCCTTTAATCTCCTGGTTGATTTTTTAAAAATTGCATACATTAACGTGCACTCTTGCTGCTGTAAGGCATAATATTTAAATGGCCAGGATTAAACTTTATCCCTTTTTTTTCTTTGTAAGTGGAAGAGAACATCTAAGTTTCTTGGCTTCCATAATATAACACTGGTCTAGGTCTCCTACTGTTTAGCAATCATCTTTCTTAGTCTATTGCTTTTGTTGATTGCTTTTCCTGATGGATACCTTCCTTTCTGCATTTGTACCAGGATCACATTACTTTTCTTTTTCTAACTTTAAGACATGGTTTAATATATAGTAAATCTGCACACGCTTCAGTGCTTGTCTGGGTCGTTTTTCTAAATTCTTTGTTACTCTTACCTGCCCTATTGATACATACAGGAAACAGCCAGATGCCGCCCAGGTCATTGTGCACAGGGGTTTGCCTACACATGCCCACAGTGAAGAATTCCGTCTCTTAACACATGCACAGAAAGGGAAATAAATCAATGTGGAGTGGCTCAGAATAAGGTCTTGCCTGCGCACTGGAAGAATGGTGTGAAGCCACTGGGAATTCCTGTTTTATGCACTAGGGAGGAGCCGGGCCTCTTCAGCTCACGTGTGGTGGCCTGATATTCCATCTGTGAGATTGGAACCTGTTGACAGGACCCCCTTTTTTTCGCTGAGAGCTTTCTTTTAATAAACTACTCTCTCCTCACCTTTCAGTGTGTCCACGTGCCTAATTTTTCCTGGTGGTGACACAAAAACCCGGATTTTAGCTGAACTAAGGAGCAAAAACTCCTGCATCACTACCCTAGACTTACCAACTTGGGTTACTTTATCAAGTATAAAACCAGCACACAGCTCTATTGCCATTTTTATTAGAATTGTATTAAATTTATTAATTATTTTGGTAAGAATCAGCATCTTTATAGTATTGAAATTTCCCATTTAGAAGCCGGTCTACTTTTGTCAATTATCTATATCTATCTTTGTATTCCTATTTTTTCATGTCATTTGTGTTCACAAAACTGTCAGGTTAATGTATGAAATAAGGGTCATGTCTGACTGATCTCTGACTAATCTTAATAAACTACTTTGAATAATAACTTCTGACTAATCTCTGAAATGCTATTTCGGTGACATGCCCTTTTAAAATATGACTACCCTATCTTGCCATTTAGTTGTGCATCTGCAAAGTTCAAGACTATTTTCTTTGAATATATGTACTTGCAAGCTGTTATTTGGATATTATGACTTGATCTACTTGTTTCATCAGTGGGTTACAATTAGAAGAATTACTTAAAACAGATGACTAGTTAGGAGCATTCGTTTCAATTCTGACACTTCAAGAAAATGTTTTTAAAAGTTTTTTTTTTTTTGGTTTTCTGTTTAGTTTATTGCAATTCCCAGAAATGTCTTCACCATTCACCTTAGAACCCATCCTTCTATAATTGGCATAGCATTTTATTGTATAAGTGTTATTTGTATAATTTGAGTGTTACCAGAACCTTGAGGTTTTCATAACAATACATTACAAAAATTTTAACTTAAAAATTCTTTATTTTATGTCACTGTTTGTTTGTATTGAAGTATATTTTATTCTTTTAGAACTGCAGTTTTTGTTAACTATTGGACCATAGTCTTAAGATAGAAAAGGAGTATTTAAAACTGCCTCATGGCATTAGTTGAGTACAAGGAAGTAATGCTGTAGATCAGACCGTTTGCCTTATGGAAATTTAGAAATAAAAAAAATGATTATTATTTCAGTAAATCCTGTTTAAGCAAATCTTTGGTGCTGCATCCTCCTGAGATAGTGCTTTTGTGTTGCCTTTTGATTTCTGCCACCCTTCTTCCCTTGCTCACCAAAAATTAGAGAAGAGAAAATGAGAGCAAGTGGGCAGGATTTGTGTATTAAAAATACCAAAGAGCTGTTCACATTGGGATCCTTGTAGAACTTTTTCTTGATTTTCTAGAGTATTAAACGGTGAAACCTGTCATTTATAAATTACATTTTAATAGTCCATTAAATTCCTCTTGGAAATCTTTGCTTTTTAAAACCAGTAAATAGAAGTGGTATCTTCTAGTTGGTGGGCTTTTATTATTCTTCCATAGATTCATCTGCACACTACATTAAGATGAAGACTTTTGAAGGTTTCTGTGCTTTACATCTTGCTGCAAGTCAAGGACATTGGAAAATCGCACAGATTCTTTTAGAAGCCGGGGCAGATCCTGATGGAACTACTTTAGAAGAAACCACACCATTGTTTTTAGGTAAGTATGCTGTTTGTGGTACAGATGTAATTTTTCTTCTTTTTTTTTTTTTTGTTAAACTAAGCTTAATTTTTTCTTCAGCTTTTGTACTTATAGTATGTTCTTTTGGCAACTGTTATACCACTAATTCTTTGATTTTGAAACCGAAAAGTTATTTTTAAAGGTTTTGCTCTTGTTTTCTATTCTTAGGTGGCAGCTTCTGGGACTTTGTTTTATTTAAAGTTGCAAAATCTGTTTTGAATTGTAGGCACCATCATTGTTCTCAGTGTAGTTCTGGAGACAAGATATCACTTAAATTGTAGCAATAGTTGCAAGGTTACCTGTGAGTGCTTTATGTTTGCTTTCGCCTTTTCTTAGCATTGAAAAATTAAGAAGCTTTTATGGAAGAAATCATCAGCTAATCCTTTAATGCCAATTAACGTGTTGCCTGTATGGATCACTGTTCAGACCTCTTCTATTAAAGACTTTTTAATTCCTTAAGGACGACAGCCAAATCCTAAATGGCTTTCTTCCAATAACTGTCTTTTTTCTTCTTCTCCTCCTTTCTTCTATTTGATCCTGTTTGTCTTCAGGGACACTGTGTCCCATAAAGTTTACTGGAAAATGAGAAAATTGAGTCAGTGAAGCACTTGGAATATAATCAGTGCAGCTGGACTGTAGTTTTGGTCCTGCCACATGTAATTTGTTATTTATTTATTTACTGTATGCTTCAGTGTCCTCACTTACAAAATCAGTCATAGTACCTATCTAGTCTTTGTTAATGGGCTGAGAATAAAATTAGTTATCTGTGAAAGTACTTTTTTTCTTGTGGACTTAATATTATTAAAATAAAAAAAAAAACAACAAATGCTTATAACAGAATACCAATAATTGGGTAAAAAAATTATTAAAATTTATGTACAGTAAAATTCACTCTTTTTTGTATAAGAGTTCTGTGAGTTTTGATGTATTCATAAAATTCTGTAATGGCAACAATCAAGATACAGAACCATTCTCTCACTTCTCGAAATTCCATCACGCTGCAAATTTTTCATCAGTATTTTCCTCCCTCCCACTACCTTCACCCCTGGCAGCAACTGTTCTGCTCCTATCCCTGTAGTTTACATTTTGCAGAATGACATAAGTGTATATACATATATATATATGATTAATATATGCCATATAGCCTTTGAGACTGGCTTTTTTAAAGGTAGCATGATACTTTTGAGATTCATCCATATTGTTGCATGTATCAATAATCCTTTCTTTTTTGTTGCTGAATTGTATTCTATTAAATAGATACAATACAGTTCATTCATTCATCAGTTGGATATTTAAGTTGTTTTCAGTGTTTAGTGGTTATGAATAAATACATTTTTGTAGATAGGTTTTATATCAATGTAAGCTTTATTTCTCTTGGTTTAATACTTAGGATTGGTATGACATATGGTAAGTATATGTTTAATTTTGGAAAACAAGTTGAAAGTTTTTTTTCTACCAATTTGCCTTTCCTTCAGTAATGTTTGAGACTTTTAGTTGCCCCATATCCTTGCCAACATTTGCTATTGCCAGCTCTTTCTTTTTCTCTGTTATATTTTAGTAACTCTAATAGGGTTTAGTCGTATCTCACTGTGGTTTTTAATTTAGATTTTCCTAAGTGCTGATGATGTTGAGCATCTATTCATATCATTATTTTACGTCTTTCCTTCCTCTACCTTTTTTTTTGTATTTAGACATTTTATTTTGAAATAATTTCAGATTTATGGAAATATTCAATAACAGTACAAAGTTTTTCTCATACACTTTTTACCCAAATTTTCTTCTTTTGCCATGTTTGTCATTTAATTTCCTTCTTTGTATTTTTTTATCCCTTTGTGATTAATTGGTAGACATCATGCCCCTTTAGTTCTACTTTAGTGTGAACTCCTAAAGGCAACAAAATTCTAACTACCATGTGATGATCATAATCAGGACGTTAATAGTATTATTATTTTTTTTCTTTTTCTTTTTCTTTATTTTTTATTTTTCATTTTTAAAAGACGGGGTTTCACCATGTTGGTCAGGCTGGTTGTGAACTCCCAACCTCAGGTGATCCGCCTGCCTTGGCCTCCAAAGTGCTTGGATTACAGGCGTGAGCGACCATGCCTAGCCTTAATAGTATTATTTAGTCTACAGCCCTCATTCAATTTTTTCATCAATGTCTTTTATAGCAAAAGGAAAAAAAGATTTTGGTCCATGATAAATCCAAGATCACTTGTTATATTTAGTTGTCATGTCTCTTTGACCTCCTTGAATTTGGAACTGTTTTTCAGTCTTTTATGATTTTAACTTTTTTTGTTTTGTTTTGTTTTGTTTTGTTTTGTTTTGTTTTGTTTTGTTTTGTTTTTTGAGACGGAGTTTCGCTTTTGTTACCCAGGCTGGAGTGCGATGGCGCGATCTCGGCTCACCGCAACCTCCGCCTCCTGGGTTCAGGCAATTCTCCTGCGTCAGCCTCCTGAGTAGCTGGGATTACAGGCACACGCCACCATGCCCAGCTAATTTTTTTTTTTGTATTTTTAGTAGAGACGGGGTTTCACCATGTTGACCAGGATGGTCCCGATCTCTTGACCTCGTGATCCACCCACCTCGGCCTTCCAAAGTGCTGAGATTACAGGCTTGAGCCACCGTGTCCGGCCTGATTTTAACTTTTTTAAGAGTTCTGGTCATTGATTATGTAGAATATCTTTCAATTTGAGTTTGTCTGATGTTTATTCTTTTTTTTTTTTGAGACAGAGTTTCACTCTTGTTACCCAGGCTGGAGTGCAATGGCGTGATCTCGGCTCACCGCAACCTCCGCTTCCTGGGTTCAAGCATTTCTCCCGCCTCAGCCTTCTGAGTAGCTGGGATTACAGGCACGCGCCACCATGCCCAGCTAATTTTTTCTATTTTTAGTAGAGGTGTGGTTTCACCATGTTGACCAGGATGGTCTCGATTTGTTGACCTCGTGATCCACCCGCCTCGGCCTCCCAAAGTGCTGGGATTACAGGCTTGAGCCACCGTGCCTGGCCTGATGTTTATTCTTGATAAGGTCAGGGTTTGTGTTTCTGGCAGGAATACCACGGAAGTGCCATGGTATCTTAATGAATCTTATCAGGAAGAATATAACACATTACTAGTAATTTATGAAAGTACTTTGAATATGTGAAAAGTATTATGCAATGTTTCATGGAAGCTTTGGTTTAATGTGGTTTGGGTTTCCAGGAGGAGTGATTGCTTTTTTATATTAATTTTCTTTTTTCCCCCAGCATCTGCATTTAACCTGCTTTGGATAATTTGTACAACCAACTACAGAGGATGCATTTATTGAGATTTAGCTACATGCAATCTCTTTTTTTGAGATGGAGTTTTGCTCTTGTTGCTCAGGCTGGAGTGCAATGACATGATCTCAGCTCGCCACAACCTCTGTCTCCCAGGTTAAAGTGATTCTCCTGGCTCAGCCTCCCGAGTAGCTGGGATTTACAGGCATGTGCCACCATGCCCAGCTAATTTTGTATTTTTAGTACAGATGAGGTTTCTCCATGTTGGTCAGGCTGGTCTCGAACTCCCAACCTCAGGTGATCTGCCCACCTTGGCCTCCGAAAGTCTTGGGATTATAGGCATGAACGACCACACCTGGCTGTTACATGCAGTCTCTTATTCTAGTTGCTGTCCTCAAGGAATCTTCTATGTACAGGAGCAAAAAAAATGATTTTACATATTCGAGATTTTAAAAGGGAGACTTGAATGACACACTTGAATGACAGAAGACTTCATGTGCAGAGTGCTGTATTAGGGGTAACTATAACATTTATTGAGCAGAGTGTATACTAAGCCTCGTGTGGGTGTTTTACATGAAGTAGATAACTGGATCTTCACTATGATTCTGTGAAATATGTACTATGATTATTCCTACTTTCATAGGTGAGGAAACTTTAAAAAGACTGGATTTAGGAAGAGAATACCTATCTTTGAATGTTGATCTTGCTGTTGTCTGTGTTTTGGGTAGAAAACTGATTAAGTGAACTATTAAATTTCATTGACAAAAGGTTTTCTAATCACATAATTTTGCAAAACGCTATGTGCTATATCCCCCAGTGTAGAAAACCATGAAGATATTATCCATGTGACTTACTGTGCCCACCCAGTCTGAAGTATTCACTGACCTCTTTATGCATCGTCTTTTAGTGTCTTCATCACTGACTCCAGTTAATTACTGCTCCCTTGTTTATTTACTGCCCCCCCTTCACTAGAAAGAATGTTCTCTGAAGGCAGGGATTTTATTCATCTTGCTCACTGTTGTAATTCCCAGACTCAGTTTAGTGCCGGGTATATGGTAGGCATTCAGTAAATTATTTGTTGAGTAAAAGAATGAAGATTTCTGAGAAAACCTCTCATTAAACAACATTTGTTTACCCCAGCACTTTGAAGTATATTTGACTATAGTATTCTCTGACTCTTGTTGCCCAGGCTGGAGTGCAGTGGTTCAATCTCAGCTCACCATCACCTCTGCCTCCTGGGTTCAAGTGATTCTCCTGCCTCAGCCTCCTGAGTAGCTGGGATTACAGGCAAGTGCCACCAAGCCTGGCTAATTTTTGTATTTTTAATAGAGGTGGGGTTTTTCCATGTTGGCCAGGCTGGTCTCGAACTCCTGACCTCAGGTGTTCTGCCTGCATCAGCCTCCCAAAGTGCTGGGATTACTGGTGTGAGCCACTGTGCTGGACTGTATTCTTTTTCTTTATGGAACGTTGAGGAATACTTCAAAAGAACATTGGTATTTCACGGGACTATTTGAGAAATGCTATGCTGGCCACATAGTTTACAGTTGCAGATTATCATTATTAGAATCCCATTTATGAAATTCAGTATTGTGCCTACTTTTATTAGTATTTGGAGAAAATTAGAGATGCAGAGTTTTTAGGGGTTTATATTTCAACATATTTTTTTATGTTAATGAAGCAAGAGATGGGAGATAATTCAAACCAGTGAATAACTTTAATGACTTA